TTAAATTAGAAGTGAAGTACAAAAATCCGAGAAGGCTCGCAGGAACCGTAAACCCTCGGTTCGCAGCCGAGAACTTACTTCGGACCGCAAACCCTCGGTTTGCAGTCGAGAACTCCCTTCTGACCGCAAACTTCAGTATTATCCTCTCGGTGCGTAAAGCAACGAATATGTCCCATCAACGATTTCGAGCCTATATATATGGGGGGACCGAAAAGATATCCTCACTTCTACTCTTCTAGCCGAAAACACACCTTTCTCTCTCAAGAACTCCAACCGAAAACCCTTATTCTCTCTCAACTATCATCCGAAAAAGGCTTGTATCTCCTTCGGATCTTGTTTAGAACATCAAGTGTTCTTCATTTCTTCAAGCAATCACCTTCCTTTTTGGTGATCCTCAGCCGAAAACCCTTGAATCTCCTTGGTTTCACCAAGAACACCAAGATCTTCAAGTGAGCCGAAAACCCAAGGGCTGGCCGAAAACTCATTGCAGCCTTCCAAATTTGCTTCTAACACTCTTATTTGTAAGTGAAACTTACAAATTGGTCCATTTCCTTATCATATTTGTGATTATATTCACTAATAGTATACATATATTACGAGAAATGCTTTTAGGACTCGTTTTTGCCTCAGGATCTAACTTGTGGAAAAACATCCTATTTCGAACCTTCAAACAAATCACTCACTTAAGGTGAGTTCATACCCCTACAATTTACATTTTTCAATGTTTTTAGGGGGGGATACAAGCAAAACACAATTGAATTGTGTTAACTCTTACATGTGAAAACAAACAAACAAAGGATTTCTTATGCTTATAAATATTGTTAAAATCATTTTTTAAACTCTTTTAAACTATTTTAGATTGCTGTTTATTATCAAAATCATGTTCATTTGTATATTTATGTATAATCATGCTTTAACGGACTTAGGACTATTGCTGACTACCTTGACTCCTGTTCCTTGTTTGGTTTTGGGGTTAGGGTAGGATCACTAGTCCGATTGTTGGCTAATATCATAATTATACATGCTAAATATATACATGAATATTAAATCTCATTTTCAAAAGAACATACTTAACTCAATTGCATATGTTGGATAAATGAGTCTTTTCTCCAAATCATTTACAGTTCAAACAAACATACTAGTAAACTATAATAGGTATAGTTTAGAGAACCAATTCATACTATTTTCTAGATCAGAGAAACAATACATGAATCAATACATACATACTATTACTTTTCATTACAAAGTACACTGCTCATTTACAAGAACAAGAAACATATACATACTATACGTAAACAAGTTAACTAGAATGTGAAATACTACTTCATAGTACTTAGCAATATTCTTGCTAAGTCATGTTTTATAACCAGAGTCTCCTGGAGGGAGAGCATGAGTTTGTGTATAGATCTATACGAGACTGACAATCCCACACCTTGCTGTTAGCTACAGTTGGGACCGACAGGTGTACGGGTGACAAATGTCATATTTTTTCGACGCCTGAAGAACGTCGTGTTTTATACTGGTCAATTAAGTATCATTATAACCTAATACACATTAGAACTTTAACTAACCATTTTGGTTACAAGTCATATATTTCTTCAGTGGTGTTATTTTAAACAACACTACCGTAAATCTTCATTTTCCATTACATACATACAGTGATGTTCACACATGAACAATGCATATTATTTTTCTAGTAAAGATAGTTTACAAATATGGAAAACATACATTTATACTAGTTCAAGTACAAACAGTTATACTATTTCAAGTACAAACATACATTTTACACCATTTCAAGAGAACAACACATACAAACAGTTGGGTCTTGGGTAAAAGCCTACTTTTCGTTTTAAGTGGAAAATATAGGATTTTATGGAAGTATACTAACATTTTCATGAAACAAATACAAAAATTAGACACTAAATACTTATGAACTCACAAACTTAAATGTTGATACTCTCTTTCAAAATAACTTGTATTCTCAGGAAACCAATAGACATGTACACTGGCTCAGGTTTTGAGAAGACGAAGCATGTTCAAGACTCGTCTTTTATTTTTGCTATACATTTTTGGTGTCATACATCTATACAAAGAACACACATGTATTAACTATATTATTAATGCAATGGATGTTGTTGCTTGTTTTACTATTGTGCATTGTTATGATATTGTACATGACGTTCTCCGCCCCCGAATGTTTCCGCCATCTCGGTTTGGGGGTGTGACAGATAACCATACAGTCGTCCCTCGCGAATTCCAAACGAAATCCTCATATGTAAATAGTTGCCATTAGTTATCTTGCCACTGTGGCTCTAACGACCTTCTAACCCAACCGATCGGGTCTATTCGTCGAATCCTGACGTCACCAAATCCAAGGTTAAAAGTGATTGTTACTTGACCAATGGTAGCCTTATATCACAACGACCTTAAACAGTCTATCACTTCCTTGATCCCATGACTGCAATGATGTTCCTACAGTCGTATCACTGGCTCAACCACGTCTGATTCATCTGGGGAAATCCGTAGACCAATCCGTGGATTTGCCACGCCCTCACTGCTGCACCCGAACTGGTGGGTACTATTGTTCCTTCCGCAATCTAACAACACGCTCATGCTATCTACCAACCTAGTGAATGCTACAACTACACCCGCAATATCACAACACTCTAGCACAATCTGCCAACCTTGTGAATGCTACAGCTACACCCGTAGACTTACAGCTCTCTGACACTATCTGCCAACATTATGAATGCTACAGCTACACCCAAAGACTTACAACACTCTAACACTATCTGTCAACCTTGTGAATGCTACGGCTACACCCGCAGACTTACAACACTTTCTCAACCTTGTGAATGCTACGGCTACACCCGCAGACTTACAACACCCTAACACTATCTGGCTGCTAGTGAATGCTACGTCTATCTCGTAGTCTTACTACACTTTCCACACTATCTGGCTGCTGATTACTAATCCAAACACATCCAACGTCAAGCATACACACCCTAACATCCCAAACTGAACTCATGTCCTGAGTGGAATCCCTAACCTGATTCCTTAAGGCCTGCTATCAAACATTCCGAGAAGGCGATCTCATTATTGGCAAGTTTTCGAACTTCCAACTCACATTATCCTCAATCCATATAGCCGCTTGGTTTGTCTTCCTTTCTGACAAGGATGCGAAACTTATCCCAGTTTCAAAACTGATCTTGCTTCTGGATCCCTAGACGATTCTCCCCCACTTAGATTCGACTAAGTCTTCACAATACATGAAAATTGAAGAATTCCTAATCCTCACTTTCCAACGATCGATCCGATGACAACCAACTCTTACCAACTAGCGCTCCGTTACTAGCTAATCAATAACGATTACTAAGACCACCGAATCTTGTCGATGTTGGATAACCATCCTGCGGAACCCTGACTGCAGACCTTCCACAGAACACCCCTGATCCGATCTCGACGATAAACCAAGATGCCATTGTACACTCCCAACCCGCAATTAGGGAAATGACCTTTCACTACCTGCTAATAGTTTTCGGCATGCAAATGGCATATGACCTCACTTGAAGATATAATCCTAACACAAACATGGAAACAACCCAAGTGTACACTTACCCAAACCCTTGGAACGAAAAACTCCATCGTGTAGTTTCCCGCAAGTGTTGTACCGAATCTGGCCCTGCTGGCCTCTTAAAAGCTGATCTGAATTCTTGGGTCTCTCCCCGGGACCCTCCAATATATGCACATGATCTGGTCCCCTCTTCCTAATGTGCTCCCAATCAGTCTCCCGGTCTCGAGCTCTAGAAATCATATCATTCAGGGTCTCGCACCCCGAGATACTCGCGATCTCCCTGATATCATTCTGATGTATGTCATGATGTCTTACCTTCTTCATTTCCTAATTTGTTTCTTACTGCGGTACCAAATAAGCTCTCACCCGAGACTTGGCAGTGATCTCTGCCACAGTCTCAGTAGTTTGGCAGAGACCTAACAACTCTTGCGCCTCAATTGCCTGGGCAAACTCTGCCCGGAATCTTGTCAAAAAGTCAGCCCATGACATAGCATCCACTACTAGAAAAACAGCCTTTTACGACGCGCAATCAATGACACGTGCTGATAGAGGACACGCATTTATGCGTGCCCTAAAAATTGATGTCAGTTTTCCAAAATATGAAGCATAGAGGGCACACATTTTTGCGTGCCCCAAAATTAGTGTCTAATAAAAAAAACACAAAGGGCACCTTAAATAAAATGTGGTCGTCTAACCATGTCGCTTTATAAATTTTAATGAAAGGCGCGTTTCATACAAGGGGGAAATGAAATCCAAAAATTAAAAAGCCCGCTTTGTTTCCACCGCCTGAAAACCCTAGCTCATCCCCGTCGAAAACCCCCTTTCTTTCTTTCTTCTCTCTAGATTCTCAAACCTCCAGCGCTTCACTTCTCTACATCTGCTCTCCAACTTTACTAATTGACTTGAAATTGGTCCTGCATGTGTTGAATTCTCGATTGCTTTTTTAATCTGGTAATTTCCTATCACATGAAACTTCCAATTTGCCTCTATAATCAAATAAAGCTTCAATTACAGATATTATTCGCTAATTACTAGTCAGATGCGATCCATATGATTGTTAATGGTGATAGGATTCTGATTTTATGTTGTCAGATATTTTTGATAGATCATCTTTGATGAGGTGTTGATCTATGTTTTGAGTTTTGAGCAATCTAAAATTGTGTATGCCAGACATGGACCAAAGAAGAGACGGATGAACTGTTTGATTTGTGTGAACGTTTTGATCAGCGATTCTCTGTGATTGCTGATAGATTTTCATCATCTGGAACAATGGAGGAACTGAAGAATCGCTACTATAGTGGTAAGTTATCATTTTCAGTTGCATTTTCATTATTACAACTTAATATTTGTTTGTTTTCTGCAGTTTCTCGTACAATATTGATTGGTATGTATTACAAGGACTGACGTCAAAACCCTAACTTCGATAATGGATGCCAAGGACATTCTAGGAATACCAAAAATTTCACTGCCCATACCACAGGAAAAGAAATCGAGACCCCAAAAGGATTCTCAGAGAAAACCCGATGGCATTTCGCGCCTAGGTTTGTACATTACATGCATACATACCTTTGAGATAATTTGTGTGGTTTCTTGATTTTTTGAAGCATTTATGGTTGTAGGTTTATGCGCTTACAAGTGGTGTGGCGCCTCTTATGCCTTCCATTGATGCCAATCAGTTAAAAAAGCGTCATCAACCTGAAAATGAGAAGGTTGGCTTGTGACCTTTTCTAATTTCTCTCCCAAGTTGCTCAAGTATAATGTCTGTAAAATCATCTTTGCGGTTTATCTCCAATTAACCTTACCACCATGGTCTCTTGAGTGTCTCCTTTAACTTCTATTTTTCTGCTTTCAACTTGTTTGTCTTCAATATTTTATATTGGCTGCATTCTTTTAATGAACTTGATGTTTCTCAGAACCAATTTTGGGCTTTTCTAGCTGTTACCACTTACCAGGCTTCTACATAAGCCCATTATTCATTACTATTATTCATTGGTCATTTTTAAAGAACTTTTGTTGTGGCTTACTCTGTTGTCTATTAAATTTACTTCTATGATTGCAACATACTTTCATTAATTTTTTTCTTATTAACACATTATTTTCTCCACATATACAATACAGGTAGATACGATGGTTTAAAATTCCCAACCTGCAATGAATTTGTGCTCAACTGTCCTAACATAACCACTTTAGCACTAAAAGGATTCAAACTTCATGACTACAAGGCCCGTATGCTGGTGAAGGTACACATAGTGCTTTTCCTATTTCCTACTTAACAACAAGTAACAAGTATTGAAGTATGTTGTTAATATTTCAGGGGCTACAGAAATTGAAACATATTGACCTTTCAACATCTTACTCATTCACAGGTTCCTTTTTAAAGTAAGCAATCATGATCATGAATCAAACAAAATTCTGTTATTTGAGTTGTGGATTGAAATTTTGGAATGATAGGAACCTTAGTGCGAATGGTGGTGGAGATAATTTGGAGGTGATGATTTTAAGGGACTGCATGCATCTCAAGGAAATTGAAGTGGAACGCTTTATGGCAGCTGTTCTTGCAGGAGAATTCAAACACCTCAAACACCTTGTACGTAGTAAACCAAATTCATTCATATTTTTTGTTTTTGTTTTTGTATGAGATGTAATATTTGATAAACGAAAATAAAATATTTTGGAGAACAGGACATATCTAACGGGGAAGGTCTAGCATGTGAGGGTGACTGGTACAATAGATGTTACAGTGCCAGGTAGGCAGAATCATTTATTATTAGTTGAAAATATTTTGTAAAGAAGAAATTTACAAATTGGTTGGGAGTTATATGCAGTTTTATTCCTATAAAGGAAGTATTGGAACAAAGGCCTGATTTCTGTCTGGTAGCAGAATTTCCAGTAGGAAGGTATGATTTTTTGGAGCACCTGTTCGTGCGAATATGAGAAATGATAAACTCACTAACGCTTCAGTCACATAATCTTTACTTCAATCTGTAAACTTTCAAGCCTTTCACTACTTCAATATTTCATTCTCCTGTAATTAATTATTTTCTGTTTTTCTTATTCAGGTTGAAAGTAGTGATCTTATAGCTTATGGACAGATTCCAGAGTTTATAGGACGTTTTCCCATTTTACTTAGTTTATCAGCTCTAACTAACTGAGGACAAACTTATTCAGGTTAATATCACATCACCTATTCTATTCTATGAAACACAAAAGTGCATACAGACTTTACTCTTTTTGCTAATATTTTGTTGATTTGGTTCGAGAGTTCATGGTTTCAGATTTGGTCGTTGGTTTTTGATACGGGTTTGTGATGGTTGATTTCGTGCTCGTTCTTGTTACTGAAAGCTTTAGGAGCAATGGCTAATGTTTTTGAATCCATTACTGCAATGTCCATGAGAAGGTCATGAATATAAAGAAGAATCTTTCCTTGTTACTGAAAGCTTTAGGAGCAATGCCTTTATATATAACATTGGCTATCTCCTAAGAAGACAAGGCTTCACTGGTTAGTCTTTTTTCTTTTTCATTTCTATTTTGCTTAACATATGGATACTCTGTGCTACTTGGCAGGTTCTATATCACGTGCTTGGGGCTATACCCTCCGATCAAGGGTCTGTTGGACCAGCATTAACTGAGTTGTGTCTTGGTTTGCAATCTGAAGAAGTAGCACCTGTATGTAGCATTTTAATTATTAGTAATGTAACCATATTTTCTTGATTCCCTTATACGTGTACGTTTATATAATTTCTATCTCTCATATTTTAAATATTTCCTTTCAGGGGCGTGTTCGGGTTTTGGCATTGATATTGAAGCTATTTTCTACTTCAAATGCAGTTGCATCTTTAACTAAAGTAATAACATCGACAACAATTACTTTTTTTTACCCTTTTGTCACCCTTTATCCTATTCTAACAAATCAATTTTTTCCACATTAATTTTGAAATTAAATTACCAATTTACGCTTAAGAAGAAATAGGATCAAATGTATTTTTTTCTTTATATAGTTATGGATCAAATGTATTTTTTTTTCTTTATATAGTTTAAACATCATGCTAGTGTTACCAACATTCTTATTGTTATTTGTATGTGATACCATTAGTAATCATCTTATTAAAGAAATGGGGAGTGACTTGAAGACATGGGTTTCAGACAGATTGATGTCCCTCTTGGGATATTCACAACCCACACTGGCTTAGTTTATGTAAGTTATCTTCAAGTTTTGTATCATTGTCAAATTTTGATGGCATTTGGAACATGTTTGATTCTTCTCTTAATCTCATGCAGCTAAAAAAGCATCATCACCTTCTGAAACAGTTAGAGAATGTATCCGATGCACTAGCTATAAGTAAAATATCAAATCCATATATAAATTTTATAATATTTTCTTTATTAGTGTTTTACTTGCTATATTTGTGATTGCAAATAATATGCAGTCTACAAAGAGACATTTATCAAAGAGACTTGAAAACTTTGACTGGAATTAGAATACAACACTATCATAAATTTATTCTTGAAAGTACATTGCTATTTTTTACATTAACCCCCTAATTTTTTTTTGCAGGATTGTGGAGAGTGTGGGAGAAGGAGTAACTGAATTTGCAGAAGGTGACCATGTTCTGACATTGTTAATTGGAGAATGCATGAATTGCAAGCAATGTGTTTATGGAAAAAGCAACATCTGCCAAAAACTAGGGTTTTGAAAGAAAAGGTGTAATGCATAGTGATCAAAAAACTCGGTTTTCTGTCAAGGGGAAGCCCATTTATCACTATTGTGCTGTTTCTAGTTTTAGTGAATATACAGTTATTAATTCTGGATGTGCTGTAAAAATGACCAAAACTGCCCCTCTAGAAAAAGTTTGCCTCCTCAGTTGTGGAACAGCAGCACGTAAACAAACTTTGTAAAACAGAAATTTGCATAATTGGTCCCTCAAGTTTCAAGGTTGCAAATTTGGTCCTTTTGTGGTTTTTGTCCCTTCTCAAAATGAAAAAGACTGTTTTGCCCTTGTGATATATATATATATATATATATATATATATATATATTAAATTGCAAATTTGGTCCTTTTGGCATACTTTTGTTGTGATTTTGGTCCCTCCTCAACTTGAAAAAGACTATTTTGCTCTTCTGATGTATTTTCTAGATAATTTTAAATAAGGGACCCCTCTTTTTAGTCATTTGAAAAGAAAATCCAAAAGAAATTACGTAAGGGCAAAATAGTCTTTTCAAGTTGGAACAGGGACGAAAATCGCAACAAAAGTATGCCAAATTTGAAAATTTAAAACTTGAGGGACCAAAACCAAAGAAAAAGGCAAACCACAGGGACCAATTTTGCATTTTTCATAAATAAGAAAATTTTGAAAAGAAATATTGTAAATAGAATTGTTTTTATAGGTTTGGGTGCAGCTTGGAGTGTTGCTAATGTTTCTAAAGGATCAACAGTTGCGATTTTTGGTTTGGGAACTGTAGGGTTATCTGTAAGTATCTAAACCTGTTTTTATATCATTTTTATTGGTTAATTGAAATGTCAATTGATTAGGTTGCACAAGGTGCTAAAATAAGGGGCGCATCTAGGATAATTGGGGTGGACACTAATCCTGAAAAGAAAGAGAAAGGTAATAACACACGATTTATTTTCATAACAAGGGCTAAATCTAACAAGTCTTTCTTGATGTGATTAGTATAAAAATTGTTCATTAATAATGATTTTTGTTATTTGTGCAGCAAAAGCTTTTGGAGTAACAGATTTCATCAACCCAAATGACATTGATGAGACAGTTCAACAGGTACACTAGTACTATGTTGATGTTAATAAATACTCCAATAATAAGATTAATAAGGATAATATAGTTGATTTCTTATATTTATGATTTCAGGCTATCAAGCGACTTACAGATGGTGGTGTAGACTATTCATTTGAATGCATTGGAGACACTGAGATGATAAATACAGCTTTGCATTCTTTCTGTGATGTAACCTAACTAACTCCTTTCTTAATCTCTTAATCTTTAAAAGGTAAAAAAAAAGATGATTATTTTTGTCATTAATTTATTAGGAGTGGGGTGTGACGGTTACTCTTGGGGTTCCTAAGACAAACCCAAATGTAGCATGTCATTATGGATTATTTCTTACTGGAAGAACACTAAAAGGGTCTCTTTTTGGAGGATGGAAACCAAAATCAGATATTCCCAGGTAATAAGTACACTTCTTTCAAACGATGTAAGTCTCCTACTTTACAATTTATATAAAATTAATAGTTTCAACATTTTATCATAATTTTATAATTAAAAATGTTTATAATTCGAGTTTTACTTTACACTGGTAAATGATGTAAGGTCGAATCTTAATTAAATATCAGTGTTGTAAAAATCGGTCTAGGCGGCCGATTAATCAGCGCCTAGGTGCTTGGCGGCCACCAACTGCCTACGAATAGGTGTTAGAAGGTTAATTAATCGGCCTTAGTCAATATCGGTCAAAATCGGTCCAAATCGGACTAAATCGGACCCTAATCGGACCAGTTAAATTTAAGAAACGCGCTAGCTCAAAGGAGCCAGCTTGCTAACATAGCTTAGATTGGTTTTCTAAGAGATACAAGCTTTTTTTATAGAATAAGTCTGCCTCTAAAGAATGCTCCCACCAGCGATGTGGGATGGACTTATAACTGTTTCATATCTCCACTTTACATCTCGTTCTTCCCTACTTTGCATCTCGTTCTTCTTAAGGAGAATTTGAGTTCTATCACCGACCCACCCTTCTTCTCGAACAGGGAAGGTATCACGACTCTAGTGTACAAAGGATAGTTCTTCTCCCTGATTCAATTGCTTCAATCTATGAAGGTTCTTCTCCCTAATTCCATCTCCGACGCCATGTAAAGCTGATTTTAACGAGGATAATTCTTATCCCTGATTCAGTTGCTTCAATCTACGAAGGTTAGTTCTTCTCGGTGACTCGGATTAACGAGGATGCAGGTGGCGGTTGGAGCAGGTGGCGGAAATCGCGTCGACACGAACCTCGCAGGTTAGTTATTCAATCACGACTCAGCGCCTTTGGTCTTAATTCTTTCGACTCAATCCTTGTTGATCAATGATTCGATTGGATGATTTTTTGGAAACTATCCGACTAGGCTATTGCAAGCTACTTCTTTGAGCCCGATTTTTGCAATTGCATATTGTTTATTAAGTTCCCTTACTTCCAGCAGCAGCTGAAGGGTCCAGTAAATGGTTTGGTCTAGGCTTTCATTGTATTTTGTTCAGTATGAGTCTGTAACACAGTTCTTGAGTTGTTTATGTGTTTTAGATCGGTAAGTGTGTTTACGACCGTAAACAGAGTTTACGACCGTAAACAGAGTTTACGGCCGTAAACATGTTTACTTATGAACTCACAAACTTAAATACTTATGAACTCACAAACTTAAATGTTGATACTCTCTTTCAAAATAACTTGTATTCTCAGGAAACCAATAGACATGTACACTGGCTCAGGTTTTGAGAAGACGAAGCATGTTCAAGACTCGTCTTTTATTTTTGCTATACATTTTTGGTGTCATACATCTATACAAAGAACACACATGTATTAACTATATTATTAATGCAATGGATGTTGTTGCTTGTTTTACTATTGTGCATTGTTATGATATTGTACATGACGTTCTCCGCCCCCGAATGTTTCCGCCATCTCGGTTTGGGGGTGTGACAGATAACCATACAGTCGTCCCTCGCGAATTCCAAACGAAATCCTCATATGTAAATAGTTGCCATTAGTTATCTTGCCACTGTGGCTCTAACGACCTTCTAACCCAACCGATCGGGTCTATTCGTCGAATCCTGACGTCACCAAATCCAAGGTTAAAAGTGATTGTTACTTGACCAATGGTAGCCTTATATCACAACGACCTTAAACAGTCTATCACTTCCTTGATCCCATGACTGCAATGATGTTCCTACAGTCGTATCACTGGCTCAACCACGTCTGATTCATCTGGGGAAATCCGTAGACCAATCCGTGGATTTGCCACGCCCTCACTGCTGCACCCGAACTGGTGGGTACTATTGTTCCTTCCGCAATCTAACAACACGCTCATGCTATCTACCAACCTAGTGAATGCTACAACTACACCCGCAATATCACAACACTCTAGCACAATCTGCCAACCTTGTGAATGCTACAGCTACACCCGTAGACTTACAGCTCTCTGACACTATCTGCCAACATTATGAATGCTACAGCTACACCCAAAGACTTACAACACTCTAACACTATCTGTCAACCTTGTGAATGCTACGGCTACACCCGCAGACTTACAACACTTTCTCAACCTTGTGAATGCTACGGCTACACCCGCAGACTTACAACACCCTAACACTATCTGGCTGCTAGTGAATGCTACGTCTATCTCGTAGTCTTACTACACTTTCCACACTATCTGGCTGCTGATTACTAATCCAAACACATCCAACGTCAAGCATACACACCCTAACATCCCAAACTGAACTCATGTCCTGAGTGGAATCCCTAACCTGATTCCTTAAGGCCTGCTATCAAACATTCCGAGAAGGCGATCTCATTATTGGCAAGTTTTCGAACTTCCAACTCACATTATCCTCAATCCATATAGCCGCTTGGTTTGTCTTCCTTTCTGACAAGGATGCGAAACTTATCCCAGTTTCAAAACTGATCTTGCTTCTGGATCCCTAGACGATTCTCCCCCACTTAGATTCGACTAAGTCTTCACAATACATGAAAATTGAAGAATTCCTAATCCTCACTTTCCAACGATCGATCCGATGACAACCAACTCTTACCAACTAGCGCTCCGTTACTAGCTAATCAATAACGATTACTAAGACCACCGAATCTTGTCGATGTTGGATAACCATCCTGCGGAACCCTGACTGCAGACCTTCCACAGAACACCCCTGATCCGATCTCGACGATAAACCAAGATGCCATTGTACACTCCCAACCCGCAATTAGGGAAATGACCTTTCACTACCTGCTAATAGTTTTCGGCATGCAAATGGCATATGACCTCACTTGAAGATATAATCCTAACACAAACATGGAAACAACCCAAGTGTACACTTACCCAAACCCTTGGAACGAAA